GACTTCTCTGTGGGAGAAGAATAGAGAGAAGGCCTGTTATAGGCTGTGGTTGAAAGGAAGGGGTGGACCAGGTCAGATAGGGTGTTCCACTAGGGTCAGTGAATCAGAAGCACCAAGCTCGCTGGAAATGCCAAATCTCAGGCCCCACTCCAGACTCACTGAGTCAGTCTACATTTTAATAAGATCCCTGCCCAGTTGACTGATATCCCATTACAGTTAGAGAAGCACTGCTCTGGAGTACGGTAAGGAATTTGGATGTTATTTGAACTACAAGGACCATTGGAGGGTATAGGTAGGAGCCCAACATGGTAAAGTTCAGTCTATCAGTTGTGTGGTGGGTACATGATATGTCTGTTGTGTGGTGGGTACATGCTGTGTCTGCCGTGTTGTGGGTACATGTTGTGTCTATCCTGTGGTGGGTCCCTGGGGCAGGAGCAAGTGTGGAGGAAGGAGACCAGTTAGGAAACAATTGCAGTTGGCTATGCCTGAGGTGATGATGTAGGTTTGGACTGTGGTGGTTACCATGGAATTGCAGAATGTAGTGGATTCCAGCCTTATTTGGAGATAGAACTTGATGATGGATTAGGTGCTGGGAGTGAGAGGAGGATAGAAGCAAGGATGACTTTGAGGTTTTGGCTTGAGCATCTGGGTGGATGGTGGGAGACTAGGAGAAAAGTGTTCCAATTGTGTCCTTTATCGGTAGGATAATGTATGTTCTGTGTGCTTGTGTGCATGTGCCTGTGTGTGTATTTCTGGTGTGTGTGTTTAGCACACGTTACTTTTGTGGTGAAAGCTCTCTCCTGTGATGGATAGGCTCACTGTCCCCACTTCTTCTGTTGTCATCCATGACTCTGTGCAGTGCCACACCTCATTGACTTTGGGGTTGGCCATGTGACTTGCTTGGATAGCGGAATGTCAGTGAAATAGAGGCTCTAAATAGGCTTGCGTGGTTTGACTTGGCTCCTCCGCTTCTGCCATCTGCCAGGACTTGGAGAAGCTCATGTCTTGTAGCTCCTGGTCCCAGAATAAAGAAACCTCTGAAGTTGACAAGAACCCAACCTCCAGCCTGGAATCCAATCTAGTCAGTCAAGCCCAGGTGAGCCCACCGCAGACCAGCTGCAGTCCAGTCACCCTGCAGACCCATGAAGGAGAAAAGTAAATGTTGACATAATTTCCTGAGATGTTCAGTGTCTGTTTTGAGGCATGATTGCCGTAGAAACCTGTCCAATACACATACCCAGTACAGAGTAAATGTTATTTCCATTATTGTTTTTTTAAAAAAGATAATAATGGTAACTTCTCGACACTGATTGGTTAGGGGCTATTTTGGCTGGGCCTGAGGTTCCCTGTTTTGTGCATCAGAGCAGCTTAATCATCTTGGTAAGCATGAAGGTGGGGAAGGAACAGGAGGAGGAAAGGCTCTTGCTCTCCCTCCCCTAAAGGGAAAGTGTTGAAAACAGGATTAACCCCAGGGCAGGATTTGGATATTGGATAAAGGATAATCCGGAGGTGAGGAGACTCCCTTGCACCAGAAGACTCCCACCTGCTTCCTGTTGCCTGGAGTCTGTTTAAGGAAGGAGAGAGCCTTTATTCCACAATGAGAAAGAGAAGACTTCAGATGCAATGGAAAAGAAGTACAGCAAATGAGTTTTTAAGGTCAATAATGATGATAATTTCTCTCTCTCTCTTTCTTTCTCTTTTTGTTCAACCTTTTTTTCGGCACCTACCCCTGTCTTTCAGGCTCTAACTCCATCACTTCAAGTATTCAAATATGAAATATGTAAAGGCCTTGCCTTGCAGGAGGTTGTCTGATAAGGGATAGAGTTAAAAAGTGAGCAGGCCCTGGGCATCTGAAACTGAGTACCAAGTGGAGACTGGATATCCTGAAGTCGAACTTCTCCAATTCCACAAATTGGCCTGAGGTACAGTCTATTTTTGAAACAAAGACAAACAGTGTTTAAAGGTTTGTGCTTCATTCAGAGCCTGGAGCAGCCTTTACAAGTGCTCTGACTGTTAGGGAGAAATTACCATCCCTGGAGCTGAGAGTAACATTTCTGGAGAGCGCCTCTCGTTTGGCTAATGAAAGCCCCATACAAACAAACAAACAAAGTAGAAGATATTTTCTGCAACATTTATTTGCTCTTCCCAGTGTTACCAGAAAGTGGGATTTGCTCTGAATGTGTGGTCTTACTACCAGCTTACCCCACTTAAGCTGAGAAAACTAACTGTCTACCACAATTCATATTTTTACCTCCCATAATATAGAGTTACCACTGGTAATCAGTTGTCCAGCCAGGGAATTCATTTCCCAGCCCCCCTTGCATATAGGTGAGTCCAGGGTGTGTTTCTCAAGAGTGGAATATGGGTGGAAGAGAGGAGTGTTTCTCACAACCGAAACTTTAAGGAAGTGGCCACTTTCTCTTCCTTCTTTCTGGCTACATGCAGAGGACTCTGTGCTCTCAGGATGGGGAGTCAGATGAAAGGAGTCGCACTTGTGAAACCTGCCTGCCAGCCAGCAGCAACTGCATTGAGGATCACGTGAGCAAGAAGTCAGTTACTGTTGGGTTCAACCCCTGACAATTTGGGAGATGTTTGTTGCAGCAGCTGGCAATACATTAAGCAGTATATATACCTTATATGCTTTAGAATATAAACAAATAGCAATAGTTCTTCAGGGAGGTAGTATCTCAAAAAGTTTCCTCCCTTTCCCCAGATTGGGAACCCCTCTCTAAATAGCTCTGATGAAAATGGCGTCAGAGGAATTGTGTAACATTCACAGTGCAATCAAGATGCCAGGCCTAGACCACATGGCCTTATCAGCAGGTCTGGGGCTTTGGTGTGTACATTATGCAGTATCTGGGAAAAAACTGTGCCTTCTGAGGCCCTGAAGATTATACAATTTTAGGGCCCTTTTTAAGGAAAATATACAAAATTATGCATATAAATTAAATACAGGTCTTTGGAACAGGTTCTGGAACTTAAGTTTTATTTGCATCCCTCTAAATCCACCTCTCATACCTGCAGAAGAAGATGGGCAACAACGGAGATGGGCAGGAAAAAAAAGAAGAAAGAAGGCTGCTGACACATTTTTCCTTTCTCAGCTAAGGTGCTTAGCACCAATATTGTGAAACTAAAGAAGTTTGCAAAACTGTGTAAACCTCGAGAGTGCTGCTCCCCCAGCAGAGGAACGTGGAGCCATGCAAAGTGACTGGGTGAGGGCTTCTTGACAATCTCTCAAATGGGATCCTGGGCCAGAATTAAATTTGTCTAGAAAAATTAATAATATGACATCTCTTGTACTGGATTGTCATGGGCAAATCCAGCTCTACACATCAGGTCCCGCCTTCCACACTGCTTCCCATTGCATCTTAGGTCTCTTCAGAGCTCCTCTCCCTCTCTCTGACTGCTCCCTGAACAACCTTCACTATTTGCCTGAGGCCTCCCTTCTGTGGGTAACCCAACTCTCTCTCAAGCCCAGGCCTGGGTGTCTATCTGCCTGATGTGTCTGTCTGAATGTCCTCCTGACATCTCAAACACAACATTTACTGAGCTGCTTTCATTATCTCACCTTGCTCTTCCTCCTGGCTCCCTTGAGCCAGCAGTGGCACTGTCATCCTCAGTCACCAAACCAAGACCTTGGAATCATGCCAGAAAACTCATTCCCTCTACCCTACCTCTAATAGGCGTCATTTCTATAGTGGCTGGTCACATAATTTGAAAGGCTCAGTGCACATTGGCAATGTGGTACCCTTGTTTAAAAAGCAGGAACAAGTGCGTTTAAAACTACAAAAATATAAAACTTTTCTCTATCTTCTACAGTCTTTCTCTCTCTCCTGACTTGTCATAGTGGCTTTTGTTTGCTGTTTGTTACTGTTCTAAGTAAGGGAACATTAGAATTTTTAATTATTACCATGAATTTTACCATTCATCTTTATAATGTGAAATGTTAGTTTCAAATGCAAATATAAGAGCATTGACACATGTGTGGAATCACTAAACTTGCATCATTTGCATTTCATAGCTTGTGCATGTATCCCATTCTTACCATAAGGGTGGATGCCCTGTACAAAACTAACTCAACTCTTTTTATTTCTCTTCTTGGTATGTATACACCCTACCAACACTATCTTTGGTTTATTGATGCTCAAGAAAGGAGCAGAAAGAAAAGCAACTACAGGTTTCTCTCTCTTTTCCTTACCATCTATGTCATTATTTTCAAAACACATTTTTGGCAAATACAGGGGAGTAACACACAAAAGGATATGACAGAATTATGTTTCTTAGAACTCCGTTGACTTCTTTTTGCATTTGAAGCAAGGTTTGGTTCAAAAGGGAAGCGTGACCTCTAGCCGCTGTCAGCACTTGAATTTACTCAGTAGTGGACGTAATTGGCTTATCCTATACATACCCTGAATTTCACTGAACCCCCATGCATGTGGATCCACTGGAAACATGTGCTCATGGGGCATCACTAATGCTATTTGTGAATGGACTGGCAAGGAATAGTGGACACCCATATTGCGCATACATACTTTACCCATGAACATACTCTGTTGGTCCATTGGATTTCACTTAAAAAACATACGTTCAGTGGAAAGCCACATGCAAAAGGATGAAACTGGGCCATTATCTTACACCATACACAGAAATTAACTCAAAATGGATTAAACACTTGAACATAAGACCTGAAACCATAACACTTTTAGAAGAAAACATAGGCGGTAAGTTCCCGGACATCAGTCTTGGGGATGATTTTTTGGACTTCACACCAAAAGCAAAGGCAACAAAAGCAAAAACAATCAAGCTCGACTACATCAAACTAAAAAGTGTCTGCACAGAGAAGGACACCATCAACAAAATGAAAGGCAATCTAATGAGTGAGAGAAAATATTTGCAAATCATATATTTGACAGAGATTAATATCTCAAATATATAAAGAATTCATGCAACCCAGTATCAAAAAAAACCCCAAACAATCCAATTTAATCATGGGCAGAGGAACTAAACAGACATTTTTCCCAGGAAGACATACAGGTAGCCAACAAGTACATGAAGAGGTACTCAGTGTCACTAATTGTCAAGGAAATGAAAATCAAAGACAAAATAAGATATCGCCTCACACCTGTTAGAATGACCACGAGTAAAAAGATTAGAGATAACAAATGTTGGTGAGGATGTGGAGAAAATGGAAGCCTCGTGCACCACTGGTGGGAATGTAGATTGGTGCATCCACTACGGAAAGAGCATGGACGTTCCCAAAAAGTTAAAAAGAAAACTACCAGATGATTCAGAAATTCCAATCTATGTATTTATCCAAAGAAAACAGTAACATTAACTTGAAAAGGTATATGCACCCCCATGTTCATTGCTGTATCATTTACAATAGACAAGATACAGAAACAACCAAAGTGCCCATTAACAGATGAATGGATAAAGAAAATGTGGTATGTATATATATCATAGAATATTACTTAGCCGTGAGAAAGAAGAAAATCTTGCCATTTGCAACAACATAAATGGACCAGATTAAGCTAAGCGAAGTAAGTCAGACAGAGAAGGACAAGTGCTGAATGACTTCACTTGTATGTGGAATATAAAAAAAGCCCCAAAACCTGAACTCATAGACACAAAGTACAGATGGGTGGTTGTCAGAGTCAGGGGATGGGGGTGGATGAAATGGGTTAAGGGAGTCAAAAGGTACAAACTCCTAGTGATAAAATAAATAAGTCTTGGGGATATAATGTCATAACACTATATGGTATATTTGAAAGTTGCTAAGAGGGTAAGTCCTAAAAGTTCTCATCAGAAGAAAAAGAAAATTTGTAACTGTGTATGGTGGTAGATATTAATTAGACTTATTGTGGTGATCATTTTGCAATATACACAAACATCAAATCATTACGTTTTACACCTAGAACTAATATAATGTTATATGTCAATTATATCTTAATTTTAAAAACCCACAAGTTCAAAGATAAAATTATTAAGAATTTCAAGATGGCAACAGCAGAGCATAAAATCAGTGTGAGGCCCTTCTGAGTGCAGGGTCCTGTGCAACTGCACAGGTGACACCCTCTGAAGCCATCCCTGTTTCTTTCTCTTTATCACCTCTTGGAGCTGCCCCTCCTCTTCAGCCACATGGCCTCTGTCCATGTCACTGCAGTTTCTCCCCTGGACTGTTACAGCAGTTTCCCTAATTCCTGTTTCCTTTACTACCTTTCCTCCTCCTTATCCTGAGAGAGACCTTCATGAAGCACACATTTAATATGGGCCTCTCATCCCGTCTCCATTTAAATGTCCATGAGAATAAAGTATAAAATGCTAAGCATGGCGTCCAAGGCCCTCTGCGACCTGCTCCTGTCTGTCTCTACAGTCTCATCCTCTCCACACCCTCAACTCCTGACATGCAGTCTTTATACAAGGAAATGCCTGACTAATGGGGAGTGTTGCCAGATTAAGCAAATAAAAATACAGGATGCCCATTTGAATTTGTCCCATGCCATGTTTGGCAAATAATTATACAAAGAAATTATTTGTTGTTTATCTGAATTTCAAATTTTAACTGGTGTTGTCTTTATTAGCCACTCTCTCTTTCCTTTCTTCCAAGTCATACCTCACAGACCACCCCTCCAAGAAGTTTCCCCGCCCTCTCTCACCTCTCCCCTTATCACAGCACCAACACATGGCTCTTTGTTAGTATAGTCAGTGGTGTTTGGTGCGCAGCAGACTCTGGGACCCAATAGCTTCATTTCAAAGTCTAGAAAGAGTCACTCTTCTCTAATTGTGAAAAGTCCTTTAATCTCTTTCTGCCTCACTTCCTGCATCTGTCAAATGAGGATGGTGGTCACGTGGGTAACAATGCCTGGCTCAGAGGAGTGCTGTGAGGACTCCGGAATTCACCCAGGTATAAACCACTTAGAGTGATTTCCGGCACATAGTAAATGTAATTATTTTTTGTTTGAATGAGTTGGCTGTGAATTCCTGGCCAGCAGGAATTGTGTTCTATTTATTGCTACCCTGGCTCCTCATGCGATCCCTGCCGCACAAATGAGGTGTGCTTATCGAATGAACTTGTCTGCTTTAAACTCCAACCTAGAACCCTGAGAAAGAAGATTATAAAACCTTTCCTGGCATGTGGCCTTATCCGGGGTCAAGAAGACTCCTGTTGACAGGGCTCCATCTTTCCCATCCCTGCTGGATGTCCTTCCTGGGGTAGCTGTCCACCCTGCCTTCTGCTACTTCCACACATCTGCCTATTTCTAGGTCTCATCACCTCCCTGGCTCTGCCCTTCTCCCATCTCAGCGGCAGTGTTTGCTGAGTCTGCAGCTGACCGGTCTCTGTAGGCAGAGGCTACTGTGTACCCCTCTGCCTGGACTTGCCTGGTCCAGCCTCTGAGCCAGGCTCTTCTGCTCCTGTGACCCAACTCTGACAAATTCCAGAGAATGAACATTTCATATCTGTCTACCCGAGGAGCGAGAAAACAGGGGAAGTAGAAGGACAAGGAACATTCAGTGTGAGGTAAGTATGGGGGAAGGCTGAGAAGAAACAAGAAAACTGTATTCTCCCTATCATATTACTCTCTTTGGGCAAATAAACTCTAGGGGTGTGGGGGCAGGACAAAGACCTCTTGTGTTTTGGAAAAGGACCTTTGCCCTGTTGTGTGTTCTTAGCTGGCTGGCACTTTCTCTCCTGCTCTCATTGGCTGGCTGTGGTCATCAGGTAGCTGTGCCAGTCTGAGCTGAGGTTCTGCTTCCCCAGGGTCAGTGTGAGTGGTCACAACAGGCCACAATAATGATGGTAGGGCCTGTTGTACAACAGAAGCTATACAGAGGTCAGGCTTTGTGGTCAGACAAAGCAGGCTTCAACCCTGGCATTGCTGCTCACTAACCAAGTACTTTGATCCAGTCTTTTAACTTCTTTCAGCCTCAGTTTCCTGTACAAATTGGGATCATAATACCTGCCAGGCAGGTTTGATCCAGTGAGAAGGATAAACAAAACTCATCCCCTGGGGGTTGCTTCACTCATGGGGATGCACACAGCTGCTAGAGCAGGGGGACCACTCAATAACTACTGGATGCTATTATTGGAGTCTTAGGGAGAGGGAACAGCAAGGATTCTGAACTGTGATCTTTTCCCAAGAAGGAGCAAAGTTTGGAAGAGGAGAGGAGAGATTCTTCCCTTCCTCTTCTGTGATCTTCCTCACTTCAGAGAACTCTCTAGTTTTCATATGAGAAGACAATGGGAGGATCCAGATTTCTCTATAGAGGGGCACTTGTGTGTGCGTCTTGTGGTCCTAAAGCTGCATATACACAGAACTTCTCATGCAATTGAAGAAAATGTCAACTGAATAAAGAATGGGCGATGATGAAGATTTGGGAGGCATGGATGTCCCCCACAGTCTCCAACTTTGTTAAACTTCTTTTCACATTGCAATGATTGGGAAGGCAATGTTGGGTGTGAAGAACACTGGCAGTGAGTTGGAATAATAGTCATAAGGTTAGTCAGAGAGCTCCAGAGCTGCCACTATCTTAAGGAAGGTTAAGGAAAAGAGTCATTAAGCCAACCCTCAATCTTGGTGTTTGCTTGTTCATGTAAGTTGAGGGAGCAGGGATTGGATGGAAGACCAACAAGGATCCTAGAGTCTTAGTATTCACAGATCCATAGTAGGAGCTGGGCTGAAAGAGAATATCCTAGAGACATGCGCTGTTCTAGGAAGAACAGTCTGCAGCAAGTCTGGGAATGTTCATCCCATTGTTGTTGTGGCAGCTATTCTAGCTGCAGAAAAAAATTTTGAGAATGGTTGTTCTTACTTGAAATCTTTAGTAGCAAGCAAGAGGTAGGAGGAGGGGACGGAAGAGAAGAGAAAGAGTTTTGACTTAATGCAGTTTAGGAGACTAACGATGGAGCTTAAGGAATGCTGCCCACAGCAAGAAGTCTCACCCAGAAGTGAGACTGCAGCCCTGCCTTCCACCATCTCTACCACCTCCTCCTCCTCTTCTTCAGACTCTGCTTCTCCAGTCCATTTTGGCTAATTCCTTTCCTGTGCTCAGGTGTCCCCTGTCCTGTCATAGACCCCTGCTCTTGGACCATGCAGGAGATGCCTTCATCTTGTATGCATGGAATGGTCCTTTGGAGAGGCAGCCTCTCTGTCTGAATGCAAATGTAAAACTGCCAGGTCAAGTCTCCCATTCCTGGGACAAGCGACTCTTTCCCCTTAGAGAACCTCCAGATCTGAGTCTCAGAGTTAAACAGGAGCAGCTTGGGACCAGGGAAAGATAACTAGGCCATAAATCAGAAAATCAACTAGCTCTGACCTTGGGCAACTCCATTAAAGCATGTTAGTCTTGATTGCCTTCTGCAAAAGTGTAACCATGGGCCCTCTAGGACCAGTCCAAAATGAGCCCATCTTGTCAACAGAGCAACTAAGAGTTGTTTTTCAGGAACTGAGACCCCTTGTCCAGTTCAGGCCAGTTGAGACCACCAACCCATCAACTAGGCCTGTGCAAAAGCCTGATAACTGACCCTTTTGAAGTCACGGGGCTGAAAACTCCATCCTCAGATCGTAGTAAGACCATCATTTACGAACACGCATCCTATGAAGAGCCATGAAGCTTGACTATGCCTGTGCAGGTCATCAATTACCTCACTTCTCCTTAACTCCAATCATCTATCTCCACACTTCATCCCATAAAGTTTGCCTCAAGCCCTGGATCAGGGATACAGATTGGAGATTATATGCCTCCTGTCTACTCGCAGATCAAATTTGCAATAAAGTTGTTTGCTTTTCCCAAAAGCTGATACTGTAATTATTGGCTATTTTATGTGCATTGGATAGGAGAACCCCTTCTTGATGTGGTTACAAAAGGATAGGGAGAAAGGAGAAAGATAGCCTATTGATAGACTAGACCAGTGATATTGTGAATTCTGAGGAAGCCTATGTTCTATAATGGCTGAGTTGATAGGGTTAGTGGCATTCCAGGTCCCTTTCTTGCCTTATAAAGTGGTTTGAACATTCATAGGAAGGAGAGATTTTTCCTGGCTATAAAGATCAAGGAAAGCTTTCATGGATGAGGAGACATTTGAAGACATGAACAAATGAGTGAGATAAAGTACCAAATCAGTCACAGTCCTGGCAGGAAATCAGGCAAAGTCCAGAAGGCAACTGAAGAGAATTTAATGGAGGGACCATTTGCAAAGGTCAGTGGAAGGTTTAAGGGATATCAGCAAGGAATGGTGACACACCCTAGGGCTACAGCAGGAACCACCACCAGTGGGTCTGATGAAGCTAGGGGAGAGTATTTCCACAGAAGATGAGACTTAAAGCCACACTAGAGCATCCTGACAGAGCTGTGACCTCTAGAGTAGGAAGACGGCCACCATCACCTGCTGCCCAGTATGGAGGGAGCTAGGAGAATAGATACCCTGGAGTCTCTGCCCTTCCACCCTTTGATCTTCTCCTGTTGTCTTCTGTTGGCAGACCTCCACCAGAACCCAGACTGCAGAGGCTGCTGCTACAGTCCTCAGAGGTCAGCCTGTGGGGCACAGAGCTGACTGGAAAAGAGCAGAGAGTGGATTGGGGTGGTGGGAGGAGGAGTAAAATACAAATAAAGATTAACCAGGCCAGACATCTTTCTTCAAGGATTTGCAATCTGGAGAGATAGCTAGATGTTAATAAGTAACCACATTATCAAATAAATTGGAGTATGAGATATTAGAGCAACAGCTTAGATTTACTGAGCATCCTGTACCAGGCTCTGCACGTATGCCCTTGTTCCATCTTCACAGCCTTCCTATGAGTCATCACTACAATTCAACCCATTTTGTAGAGGAGGCTTAGAGAGATCAATAATATGCCCAAGGTCACACAGCCAGAGAAGTTAGTGGAGGCACCTGTGAATCCAGACTATGTCACGCCAGAGCTCACACGCTCAACCAAAATGCTGTGCCCCTCGGTCAAGAGCACAGCTACTACCTGCACCTGGGTCTGTTGGCCGTAAATGCTGCCACAGCCAGAGAGAGGTTCAGATTTTGAAGGGAAGCTTGCAGAGCATTTATCCCACCAAAGTTGGCTGAGGGTGTTAATGCTGGATGACTCACTTGGTCCATATCTTCCCTGGGTTCTCACTGCTCCAGAGCTTCATTTCTGCAGCTTCAGAATTGACTGAAAATTCTGAATGATTCAGTAGCAACAGAGTCATTTCTGCAGCTTCACCCAGTCTACCTCCTGCCACCAAAGTTCTCTCCTCATAAGAAAATTGCAGTCTCTGACTTCATCCCTACTTGATCTTGCTGCCTAGCAACGGCTCCTTGTCCCCATTGTCTCCCACCTTCCAGCAAATCCTTGTAGGACCGAGGAAGTCAAAAGTGTTTAGCAGATGCATGCTGAAGTGTGGTTTATTTTTGGTATTGTTTTAATACAAATTTGTTTTTCTCCAGCTTGTTCGCATTCCTGGGAACCCCAGTGCATCATCCACTCTCCCCAAGCACAGATAGGGGATTGTCAACAGGCCGGCTGAGCTGAAAAGCCTCATGCCCACTGGTGTGAGTGCCAGATGGGCAGTGCTGTGGAGAGACTGACCAGCCCAGGTGTGTGTAGGACAATCTCTAGACTTAGCTTCTTTCCCTGAAATCCTTGCTATCTTACATCAGAAGTGTAGGGGGAAGCGCTGCACAGTCCAGAGTTCATCCCTGTCATCATCTGTTTCAGCCCTGGGGCAGGCTCAGATACGGGGCATCCGGGCCCCACACAAATTTACATGGGGTCCTCAGGGGAGCTCTGCTGATGGCAATACCTGGCCCCTGAATGCTCTCCTGCCTCTAACAGTATTTCAGTTTGAGATACTGGAGGCAGTGGAGAGTCGTGACTGAAGCCTTGGCCCAGCCCAGAGTCTGAATCACGAAGTGATCCAAAGACTCAGTCAGTCAGAGAAGCAGAGAAATGTGAGTGTCTGAGAAAGGGCTGTGGGGAGACTGCCAGGAGGGTGTGGTTGGAGGACATGGGAGGGTGTAAGCCTGAGGTCAGAGGGCTCCCTGAAGGCCAGGGCTCTCTCCCACTCTTCTCTTTATTTCTCTTCCCTAATCTGTTTGCTCAGCACAGTGTCTGACTCACAGCAAATAGACAGGGGTTTCTGCTTATAAGCTCAACTCCGCTCCCCTTTTCTCCTCTGCCTGCTGCCTTGCTTGGTTTCTCTATTTCAATCAAAGCTCCAAGTGGAAAATAGTACTCATTCATTCCTCAAATATTTACTGAGAGTCCTCTGTGTTTAAGGTTGCCAGATTTAGCAAACAAAAACACAATGTATTTTATCTGGCAATCCGTCTTACCTTCTGTTTTAGGTGCTGGGAATCCAGCAGAAGACAAAGCAGACAAGAATTTCTGCCCCTGTGGACTTTACATGCAAGAACAAGGAGACACATAATAAACAAAGAGAAATATAAATTGGTTATAAGTGCTATGGACAAAATGAAGCAGGTCTCAGATTGTGTCTGCTCCCCAGACTTCTGACGGAGAACATGACCCATCCTGAGGTTAGTCCAGGGTCCTCCCTTTACTCACATGTCTCCACTTCGTCTCCCTCTTGCTGGTTGGTAACCAGCTCCACGGGCAGGGAGTGACCCCTGAGGTGACTACTTTTCTAGCCAAGATGTGAAGGACAGTGAGCTCCCCTGTCCCTCTCCCTGGAGGTGAGACTCAGGCATAGGGTACAACAGCTGTAGGTGCATCCTCTCTGGTCATGGGCTCGACGAGGACAGGACTCATCAGTACCACAGAGGAGAGGCCCGTAGCACTTACACCAGGAAATGCCAAGTAAGAGTCCTTGAATATTTGCCATTTTACAAAGAGGTGACATCATTGAAGCCACTGCCGGACAGGAGGAGGCAGGTGAGGATGCTGTTTAAAGGGACGGAGGGTGTGCATGAGTGTAGTCCTCTCTCTTCAACTGAGGCTCTTTGCAAACGGTCTGATCATTTCTGGAAATCACTTTGGATCTTTTCTAAGTGCCCCTTAGGCAGTATTTCTTGGGAAACAGTCAGTTCCTCTGTTTCATATTTTATCTAATATTTACTGCCTTTGTGTGAACCACCACTGCCTGTTTTGTCCTCAACACTGTAGGAGAAAGAAAGAAAGAAGATCAGCCAGGAAAAACTGTGAAAGACTTTCAAATGGTCGAAAAAGCTGACTGGGTATCTTTTCAATGGAATACTGGCATTGTCTCATGGACTTCACACTGGTGATCTTTGATCTACAGAAGTGTGCCTTTGTTTCTTTTTCTAGGCTATTGTACAGCTTTGTAGCAACAGATGTTAACTCATGGAACACTGAGAGGAATACAGTTGAGTCCTGTCCTAGGCAATGCACACGATTTCTCTCTGATAGAGAACATAAAGTTCTATAAATAAAATCCTCACTTGAACCACTCTTAGCACTTTTACTGGTTTCCTCGTTAATAAGTTAAATGAACTCTTTGGCACCTGTTCTTTATATATATTAACCTTTTTTGAAACTCATCTTTTATCAGGACATATGCGGCTTTCACTCTAAAGCTGTTACCAGAAGAAACAAAACAGTACAAAATCTAGGGTTAAATTTGGGGGGAGGAAAGAACATAAGCACAGCAAATGAGGAAGTCCTGTGTGGGCTGCTCTAGAAGATAATGACCAACCAAACAAAAACATGACGTTCAAGTTTCAGGGAAAATTGTCGGAAACTACTTTATTAATAAAAAAATTCCATCATATTAGAAAGATAGCAATACCTGATTGTTTACTGTTCCTTTAACCCTCACAACAACAATGTTTGTTAGACATTTGGAGGAAATTTGCTTCTGGGGCATGCATTGACCCTAGACTTGCATTTATGTCCATCTATGACTTTGTTCTGGCTGTATGGGTAGGGGTAGTTTTTATTTGGTTAATTTAATTTTTCCAATGAATAGGATATTTCACTGAATTGGCAACACCTCCTTGAAAAGGCTTTTTAGTCACATGGAATTCTTCTTCTTGGAGACAAAGGATTCACAGTTTCATTTTTTTTCAATTCAATGGTATTTATTGGACGCTTACGAAATGACTAGTATTTGCGGTATGCAGAGGAAAGTTCACAAGAAGCACATGCATAAAAGTTCCTCTACATGGTCAAGTTCTCTTCTCACAATTTTCTTTTTGATCTGAGAGTGTCAATAGCACACGTAACATTACTGAACTCTCCATTTTAGGTAGGAAATCAAGACACAGAGACACTAGATGGCTTGGCTGAAACCACACGTAGAGTAAACCGCGGAGATGGAACTAGTACTCAGGGCTTCTCATTCCTACCGTCTTCTCCTTCCTTGCCAAAAATACGCTTCAATCAACAATTGCATGTAACTTGAGGGGCTCCAAGGTTCAAGGTGATTCTCAGTTAAAGGCCATTCCTCCCACGATTTGAGGAAAAGGGAACAATGTCCACCCATTCCTGCAGATCTCAGGTTCATTTCCATGTTTCAGGGGTGATTTGTGCTTCCCTTAAGTCCCAAGGGTTTTTGTTTTGTGTTGTTTTTTTCACAATGACTCTCAAGGTTTCATGGTTTCCCAACCACTGAGTGGGAGAGAATGGGGCAAGGCTAAAGTCACTATCCCAGCCAGGCTCCTTCCTCCCATCGGGCTGGACCAGGAATCTTGGACAGTCCTAGAGGCATCTCTGTGTGCACCAACACCCCGATGTCTTTGGGTCTTTCCTCCTTTTCTCTGAAGGAATAATGCTCAGCTGTTCTGACTCAGGCACGTTCTTCCTGAAGGACTTTCCTTGGGCAGAAGCTCAGACTTCATTCTTGCTTCTTCTGGGACTTCTGGTGGGTGCACTGTGTTTCATCTGGAAACTTCATCAGGAGAAAGAGTGAGAATTCAACAGTCTAGGGTCAATGCACGCCCCAGAAGCAAATTTCCCCCAAATATCTAACAAGCAATGTTGTTGTGAGGGTTAAAGGAACAATAAACAATCAGGTAAAGCAATCAAAAGACCAAGACAATGAGGTCTAATGAAGAATGTGGAACATGGGGTTGGACAGAAGGAAAGGGAGAGGATGAAGATGCAGAGGATCAGGACATGTTTTAACTGAGATGTTTAACGCAGTCCTTCCTCACTCACTACCACCAAGCCTGATCCATTTCCTTCCCCCTCTTGTGACCCTGACTGTCTCCTAGCATTCCTGGTTCTGGGACAGCTCCCAGGACTCCCCGAACAGATAGCCCAGGAAGGGGTCTCCAAGAGACCACTTTGCCCAGTAGACCTGCCTCCTCTGCTATGGACAGTATTGATTAGATTCATGTCTTTTTGAAGAGAAACTCCAAAGAGAGCCCAGTAAGTTCTGTGCTTCCCTCTCTTCTGTCTATGATTTCAGACCCTCTCAAGTGGCAGCTATCTCATGAGGTATCTTTGTTCTACTTTTTTTTGTTATCTTTAGGTTGGAGAAAAGCCCAGAAAGTGGATGGTGACTAAATTTGAATTCTTGTTTTTTATCTAAGGCTTCATCTGCCTCATTTTCTAGGTGTATTTAACCTGATTCTTTCCCCTGAGGCCTTGCTCACTCCTACACTATCTGGACTTACCTCCTACAATCCTAATATCTCTGGCTCACACCTCCTGGATGCCCCAAAGCTTTTTAAATCCTCTCTCCAAAACTGAACGTCATGTCCTTTCCTCCTGTGCAGCCTTGATTCCTCAAGGCTGCCACCACCCGCCCAGGTGGGCTCCTTTCCCTCCTATCCCTCAGGGAAAGTCCTTTCTACATCTTAGCCTGGGGCCCCTTCTCAGCATGGACCACCTCCTCCAATTTGTCTCTCTTCTTTTATCAAGGAGCCATGGGACTCAGTTTCCCACAGTCCTTCTCCTCACAGCCGTCACCAGCAAACCACTCTACCTCCCTGGTTTCTGCTTCCCTTCCTCCAAGAGCTACTGTTGTCCTTTTCCTCTTAACACTTAAGATTAAATAAACATCAGGAAACAGACAAGAAATCTGGAAAACAACCAGCATAAACAACACATTGCTTTCGAAAAGTTGTTACAGTGTTGCCCACAGTCTAGAGTCTCAGAGTAAGGTTGCTAAAACAGACATGTGATTACATTCCTGAGCTCCCAAACCTCCTGTGGCTTCCCATTGCTTTCTGCAGTGTTAGTGGGGTAGGGGCTGCTGTGGAGATTTGTAAATTCTAAAAGAATTTTTAATTCTTTTGAAAAATTGTCTTAATGTCAATTTTAATCTAAATAAATACAACCTAAGCAGACTCTGTATCATCTGGTTATCATTCTTATAATCAATTATTGCTGAGTGGTCCAGGTTTCCAAGCTAACTGCTATGTTTACAATCCCATCAGTGACAAATGAACTCCCTACAGACAGATTTTAACTATTTTTTTAATGATTGCCACCTGAGCTAACAACTGTTGCCAATCTTTGTGTTTTTCCTCTTCTTTTTCTCCCCAAAGCTCCCCAGTACATAGTTGTATATACTATTCATGAGTGCTATGTGGGACGCCACCTCAGCGTGGCCTGAAGACCCGTGCCATGTCCATGCCCATGCCAAGGATCCAAACCAGCGAAACCCTGGGCCACCGAAGTAGAGCGTGCAAACTTCACCAGTGGGCCATGGGGCTGGCCTTGACAAATTTTTTATTTTAATGTTGCATTTTCAAATTGGGTCCCTTAGGGTTTGAAGTTATAGTTTCAGATGTGTTCTAGAAATTAGTTTTTGTCTAGGCAAGTTTTTTGTGTAACTCAGTTGAAGAAACACTACCCTAAAAGATAAAGCCCAATCCTTGGACGTTTTATCCTTGCATTGCAGACACTCAGCGGTCCAGTCTTCATATTTCTGCTCCACCCTTGGCTGCTCCCTGCCGTGTGCCACCTTGCACTGCCCTGACCACACCACCTGAAGTGCCCCAAATGCATCACTGGGTTTCACACTTCTGTGCCCATTTTCTCTGTAGATTCAACACACCTGGTTGGCCCTTGAATATCCTACTTACATAGAGAAATGGAGACAGCTTCCTTAACCTCTCTGAAACTCTATTTTCCTCACCTATAAAGTGAGTTAATTACACCCACTTCTCTGAGCAGATGTTAGGGAATGAGATAAAGTGTGGAGAGCACCCAGTACAGAATGTAGCACACGGCTGTGATCAGTGAACATTAGCCGTTATCCTCATCACCACATTCTTTCCCCAAGTCTCTGATGAGGATGCAACCCGCCACTTCAGAGAGAAGACAGAAGACGGAGGTCCCAAACCCCCTTCTCCACCACCTGCACCTGTCCCTCCTCATCTGTTTCCTCTGATTTCGAGGGAGCACATGTCCTTTCTCCTGTCTCAGGCTATTTCTTCACCTTCATCCTGGACCCCTCACTCTCCAGCTCCCCTCAGGGCTTCTCTATTCAGTCCATTCTTTCATTCATTCACTCAATAAAGATCCACGAGCACTAACTATGCACTGGTTACTGTTCTAGTAGCCAGGGGTACAGAAGTGAGCAAAAGAGAAATCCCCCATTCACCAAGAACCTACCTTCTAGTGGAGGGAGAGAGACAGAAAACTAAATAAGTAGTAAAATTGTGGTGTGGCACATGATGATGAGTACTCAGGAGATAAATCAATCAGAGGAAGGAATATTGCACTGGAAGTGCAATTTAAAATAGGGTGCTGATGACATAGGGGAGCAAGCCACAGACTACCTGTGGAAAAGCATTGTAAGTAGACAGGACATCAGGGCCAAAGCCCAGAAGCAGAAGCAAATGTGGCATGTTTGAAGAGTATAGAGAGGCTAGAGTGGCTAGAGGACAGCGAGTGACCAGGAGAATTGGAGCAGACAGTGTCAGAGTGGTTTGGCCTTGAAAGACATCATCTGGCTTTGGCTTTGTCTCTCAGAGAGGAGCCGCTGAAAGTTTTTAAGCAGAGAAGGGACTGGATCTGACTTACGTTTTAAGAAGTTACTTCAGATGTTAACCTGAGCCTGGGCTGTGGGGAGAGGTGGCAGAACAGAAATCTGGCAACCAGCTGGGAGCCACTGCAGGGATCCAGGCGAGAAATGAGAATGCCTTATACCAAGGGGAGCAGTAGAAGTGGTCGGGGCTGGATTTATTTTTAAAATACAGTAAAAAGGCTTTGCTGATGGGCTTGGATTTGGAATAAGAATAAAGGAGTGGATCAAGAATGACTCTGAGGTCTTAGGCCTAAGAAAATGTGAAGGTGAAGTTGCCATTTACTGAGATGGGGAAACTGAGACAAAAGCAGGTTGTGGGGACAAGGCGAGGAGGTGCACAGGATTGGAAGTTCCATTTTGGCTCTGTCAAGGTTGAGGAGCCTATTAGGGATCAAGTGGAGACGCAGAGTAGGCAGTTGGACAACCAAGTGCGCAGTCCAGACAAGAAGTCAGGGCTAGAAATATAAATTAGTCTTTTTGCTCCTCTGAATCTTCATTGTTGTTCCCACTGTCTCTTTTTCCTTCCTCATGTATTAGTTATCTATAGCTGCATAACAAAATTAACATCAACTTAGTAGTTTAAAACAGCATACATGTATTATTTCACAGTTTCTGTGGGTCAGAAATCCAGGCACTGCTGAGCTTGGTCCTCTGCTCAGGGTTTCACAGGGCTGCAATCAAGGTGTCAGCCAGGCTGTAGTGTCCTCACCTGGAGTCTCCACTGAGGAAGAATTCACATTCAAGCTCACTCAGGTTGTTGGCAGAATTAATTCCCTTACAGTTGTAGGATCGAGGGCCCCAACTTCTTGCTGGCTGTTGGCTGGAGGCTGCTCTCTGCTCCCAGAGGCCCCCTTCAGCATCTTGCAATGTGGGCCTCCCACCATGACTGCTTTCTTCTTCAACTCCAGGAGGAGAGAGGGAGCCTCTAGAGTGGGCCAGCTGGCAAGACAGACTCTTATACAACAATGTCATCATGGAAGTGACTGCCCACCATCTTTCCCAGATTTTACTGAGTAGAAGCAAGTCACAGGTTCTGCCAACAGTCAAAGGGATGAGATTACCCAAGGATGTGAACTACAAGGTGAGTAACCACGGGGGACCACAATAGAGTCTTCTGCCACACAGCAAGCTAGAAGAAGCACAAGCGTCTCCCATCTTCACCAGCTCCTTCCTTCCCCTTCCTTGTGCAATATGCTCCTCTTCACTTCTCTCTAGGGCTCTAATTCCACACCAGCAAGGTCACAGCAAAGAAAATACACGCATGCCCTCCACTCTCTTGTCTGCCATGATGGCTGATCTCCCCTCTACTACACCATAAAAATAGTTCCTGCCAGTTACTAAACCCTCCCAGTCACTAAATCCATGTGCATTTCTCGATCCTTTCTTCATGGACCTCCCTGAGTAGGGCTGCCTCCCTAATTTGGTATCTGCTTCACCAATTCCCTGGCTCCTGTGCTGGTTCTTTCCCTACTCCCTGGGAAGCTCCTTCTCAGAATTCTTGCCCCTCTTGCTCCATTACTGCTGATATTCCTCAGGCTTCAGTGCTGGGCCCTCTTTTCATACTACACACATTCCCTGCAGGGGCCAAGCCATTTTCAGGCCTCTACCCTGTAAGCTGACCACCCTCCCTCACCAGCCCCTGATTTCTGGCTCTAGCCCCACCCACTGCCTCAGCCACTGTCCACATGACACCTCCCTACAGAGGCCTTGAAGACATCTCACAGTCAGTGAATCCAAAACTAAAATCCCACTAACCCTGCCCTCCCTCTCTATCTGAGTTAATTACACCACCTAAGAATCATTTTCAACTCCTTTCAGCTGTCTCATCCACCACTTCTGACTAACAGCCAAATCCTGCTATTTGCACTTCGTTTAAAATAGTCCAGCTTAGTGGTTAGAGCACAGACTCTGGAGCCAGATTGCCTGGACTTAAGTCCAGCTCAACCAGTAACCTCTTGTGTGACCTTGAGTGAGTTATTCAACCTCCCTGGACCTCAGCTTCCTCATGCATAAAATGTGGGAAATAAGAGTATCTACCTCTTAGTGTTGTTAATAGATGTAAAGCCCCAAGCACAATGCCAAGCTCATAGTAGGTTCTATGTAAGCATTACCTATTATTATTAGTAGTAAATAAATCCACCTCTCTCTTTTCTGACCCCAAATCTAGGGCCTTGCTTGAAGTGCTCATCATTTCTTGCCTGGAGTGTCACAGCAGCTTCTGCTTCATCTCCCTGCCTCCTCCCATCTGGCTCTCCAATAAGGACCTGCTACGTTGTGCAATCCCAGGAGGCGTCATAACAGAGAATACAATGTAAATGATGCTGCTGCCTCCCATCTCCCCCTACACCTGCCCTACTGTGATTTTCAATGTACGCATTTTCTCACGTCAAAATTTCAGAGGTTCTTCTTCACTTTGGGGCTATGACCCCAATCCCACACCAGACACCTGATGATGCTGTGTCCTGGGGAGGTAGGTTTGAGAGTCAACAATGCAGGGGTCGTGAATGAACCTTTCAAAATGGAGGACAGTGACATTCATAGAGGGTTAATATGCAGGGGTGTTGTTCTAAGTCTTCCCCAGATGACTTAAGAAGCAAATGTTGGTTTTATCCCCACCCTAAAGATGAGGAAATACGGACACTGAGTAGTTACTTAATTGACTTTGAGTTTCACGCCTAATGAGTCATGGATAACAACATATGGAGATAGAGACAAAAACTGTGGTCTAGTAGACCATAAGCCATAGTGCCTGCAACACACAAGCAACTCCCCAGGTAAAGCTATAAAACAAATTTGTGTTCCTGGGAGTTTCTAATGGCAGTGAGCAGTGACATAGTAACCATGAGAAATAGATTCTTCCTGCTAAGGCTAACTAAGTCAAAGAGACAGATTTCCAGGCACTTGGCCACACTTACTTCCTGCAGGACACTGCACTAGGTCTTGGAAAAGATGAAGAAGATGCGATCAAGTGCCTGACCAGGGGAGTGAATGGACCAAGGTCACTGTGAAGAGAAGGGTGAATCCACCATAGTTCTTTCCTCCATCCAGGATTGTGTCTCATGCAATGGCAGACTTGACATGACTTTGCACATGCTGGTGCCTTTCAGATACTGAGGCGCCAGGCCATATAATGTAAGGAAGAAGAGATGAGTAAGGAGCTGCCGGTGGAGTCAAAGTCTGTGCTCAGGGACCAAGAAGGGGGAATAGAAGAGTCTATGTCCTCTGGCCTCCCTCTGCCTGGACACATCTTTGTGAGGAACACGATGAAAGGCAGCCAGACAAGTGCTGGAGACGAGTGAAGAGGGCACCAAGGAGGGGAAGGGAAGGCAGACAGGGCACAGCAAAGGCCAAGAATTGTCTGGCTCTAGCCAGGGAGCACTCACCTCTCATTTTTCTGTATTAGACTGGAGAAAAGCGCAGTCCTATGCTGGTGAGTCACTGTGTCATATCTATGGTCTCAGGCTCCAGACTCCATCAGACAAGATCTTAGTGTTCTTTCTCCATCTTACAGCTCTAAATAGTGGCCTAGCTGGGTGGGTCATGGATGGAGACCCAGGGAAGATCTATGCGGCACCTTGGCCAAGTTTTGCCTCATCCCACTTCAGCACCTGTATCTTTTCCTTTCCAGATTTAGATCTTGTTTTCCTTCTTTCTTAAAGCCCTCCCACCCCAATCTCTCTTGGACTTTTCTACTCCTCAACACTTTCAGCACTATAGGCCTCAGGGTACAGCTAGAAAGTCTCCATTCAAATGACATTCAGTCTCAGTAGGTTCCATGCATCTTAGAGCAGACCTAACAACTCTCTAGACCTACGTGCCTGTCTCTTCAGAGCAGAGGGACCACTTCACAATTGGTTCCCCCATTGAGAACCCTAGAAAGGAGGGATAAATATAACCTTGTACCTTGTCTTTTTAAGTAGGTAACTTTTATTGAGAAGCTACTACCATGTGCCAGGCACAGGTCTGGGTTCTTTACAAATATTCTCCTATTTATTGACCCTCACAACAGCCATAAGAAGTAAGTGCTATTATGTCTATTTACAATGGAGGAAATTAATCCACAAAGACAGTAAAAACCTTCCTCCAAATCATACATCCAGGAGGGGGTGACACTAGGACACAAACTCATGGATTCTGGTCCCACACTCCTCAGATCATATGGGGTAGAGGTGGAACTGATCTACTTTCAGCATTTATACTTAACATACAGAAGGCCCAGTGATTTCAAGTAACTTCTTCAAGGTGACACAAATGATTAATTCTGACTCAAGAGACACTGACTCTTTTTCCACGTCTACCTCCTAAGTGTGAGTGTTCCCCAGGTGTTCCTGGGTCCACTTGTCCCTTTACACATGCTCCTTGGAAAATCTGCATGTGGATCCTCCTACTTTCTTATCTGGACTTCTTTCCTAAGCTCCACTTCCACCAGCCCCCTAAAATTTGTCTATCTGGATTGTCTCATGGTAACGCAGACAAATTTAAATTAAAAATTCTCCCAAACCATCCAAAGCATGCTTACTCTTTCGGCTTCTCTGTTATTTGTATCAATGACATCATTATTTACTGCACAAAGAAGAACTTCAATCACCCAGGATTCCTTCTTTATCATCCTGTTTTAATAGGCTAGCCAATCCTTGCAGATCTTCCTTCTGAGTCACCCTCAACTGCATCGTCTACTTTCCCTGCATTGCTCTGCTCCAGATAACCCTTTGTACTGTACTGTTTCTCTCTTGTTCTGGCCTCATTTATGCAATATGTATTAACTAAGTGCTTTTCATATGCCAGGCCATAAAGGAAACTAAATAGATGCAGCAATAGAGAATAAAGGAGGTACACTTATTAGAGGAGGGAGGTCAGGGAGCATCTTTCTCAGGAGATGACATTTAAAACAAGACACAATGGATAGAAAGGAATCGAAATATTAAGATGCAGGACTTCTCCCATTCCAGGCAGAGTGGGGGGCAGATACAAAGATCCCAAGTTGGGAAAGATCCAGAGTATTTGAGGAACTGAAAGAAAGCCCATGTGCATGGAAGGGGCATTGTGAGTGGGTCTAGAGATGACAGGAGATGTAGTGCAAGAGATAAGTGGAGTTGTATCATGAAACATCTTCCGGACCATGCTGAAGTCTTTGGGTTTATTTTAAGTGTGATGGGAAACCACTGTGGACTTCTGAGCTTGAAAATGACATCATCTGATTTATGGTTTTTAGGATAACTTTGGCTCCTGCTGTGTTGAGAATAGAGTGTAGAGAGGCAAGATGGGAAGGAAGGAATCCAGTTAGAATGGTACACTGGGAATCCAGGCAAGATATCATGGTGGCTTTGATGAAGATGGTGAAATGCGGTTGTTGGATTTGAGATACGTTTTGAAGGAAGAGTTGAAAAACCTTACTGATAGGTCCATTTGATAGGTCCTGCTTAGATTTTTGGCTCAAGCCACTGGGTAGAATGATGGGGAATTTCTAGGATGAAATTAAAAGCTTTCTTTTGGAGTGGAGTCAAGTAGGCAATTGAATGTATGAGTCTGGAATGCTTGGATGATGCTGGAGCTTGAAACTTGGAAGTCGTGCGTGCACCTGGAATTTAAAATCATCTGATTGGATGAGATTCCTTAGGGAGAGTGTTCAGAGAGAAAAGAACAGAAGTTCAAAGCCCATTTAGAGGTTGAGAAAAGCAAGATCCAGCAAAGGAGACTGAGAAAAGTAACCAGTGGAATAAGAAGAATATTGTGGGAGGATGTGTGTCCCAGAATCAGAAGAAAGAAAATATGTCAAGGAGGAGGAAATGTTTATGTCAAATGTGGCTGAGAGTTTTAATAAGGTGAGAACTGACAGTTGACAATTGGATTTGACAAATGAAAGTGAGTGCTGAACTTTGATGAAAAACAAATGAAGAATCAGAGACATAGTGAGAGGTAGGTTGGTTTACTGCTCGGCCAGGCAGAGAAGCCCTGATCCTGGCAAGAGGTGCTTGGTTCTGTAGTGTGGGCTCCAGATGAGCCACTGAAGAGATAGTTTAAGCTTTGGAAACGGATGTGAATAAGTATACTAAAGAGAAAAGGAATCAACCATAAAGGATTCTCTCAAATAAATAACATAGAGAAGAAAACAGAGATTTGAGGGCTTTTAGAAGGAAGAACTGAGAGGATGTTATAGATTTTCTCTTTGAAGTGATATTTTCCTCTTTATTTGGCAGGGACTGGGTGTTACCATTTGCGAGTCCTCAGTATCTAGCACAGGGGAAAACTGTCTGCAGAAACAGACTGTAAAGGGAGTCGACTTTCAGTCCTGGCCTGTATTGGTCAGGGTAGACTAACTGTTGTAACAAACAACCCCAATGTCTCAGTAGATAAACATAATAAAAGTGTATTTCTCTATCTCTTCAGACTTCAGGGCTGATCATGTGGGGAGGTGAGCTCTGCTTCACACAGATTTTCAGGGCCTCACTATCCTCTACATTCAGCCAGCAGACGGGGAAAAAGGGGTGGAAATATTGTGCAGAAGATTTCTCATGGGCCATGCCTGGAAGGGGCCAACTCTTCTCCTGGATACCCAAGGGACGCTGGGAAATGTTCTTGCTGTGTCCCCAGGAGGACAGGATCTACTGTTTGGTGAACACATAAAGGTGTCAATGCAAATAGCCCATAACCAATCTATAAATCAAAATTGGGGTGGGTTTATTCTGAGCCAAATGTGAGGACCATATAGCCCAGGAGAGTCCTTCCACAAAGGAACAGAGCACTCCAAGAAGTGGGAGTGTACAGAGTGGTTATATACCGTCAAAGAGCATGTATCACACATGATTGAAATGTCTCTTTTACAACGGTCATGAGACTGCCTTGTTGGCACAGCGATTGGTGGACGTTGCAGGTAGTAGATCTGCTGTCTCCATGGACACATCAGGAAGCAAGTTTGTTGTCTTGCACTGAGTGGTCACAGGTGAGCTTGGTGGTCAGAGGTGAGTGCAGCAATCAATTCCTAGTCTGGGGAGAGTTGCTTATCCTTAAGGAAAGGCTAATGTGGGGGAGGTTGCACCTTTATCTTAAGGGCATTTGTTCTTGCCTTTGGGACATCAGAAATGCTTAAAGCAGATATACAATGCATGCTCAACAGCCACGTCAGGCCCTTTTGGAAAAAAAATAAGGTTAGGCCAAATCAGCTTTACACCAAATGGCTTCCTCATATACTCCAATATATGCTATTGCTTGTCATTTTTATCAAAAGTTTCTCTCATATGATTCTTCTACGCTATGAGATACTGGGAAAGTGTGTTAAAGATGGGTATTGATCAGATCAGGGATCCTGCACAGTTGGCTGAAAATCCCTGGCCAACTAGTCCCATGAAGGATCCCCTGGGGCATCAGGCTGGCAGAGAGGATGGCTGCAGGCTCTCCACAGGACCTTCCCCATTCCTTCACTCTACAAACATTATTAAGCACTGCTTGGAAGCCAGGGACTGACAGTGCTGGACAGCGAGAATGCAGTGATGAACACACATCGTCTCTACTTTCTCACATCCTAGTCTAGTAGAGGAGAGAAATATGAAACAAATAATATCAGTGAAGTGACAGGTGAGGGATTTGTATAAAATGCTGTGGGAGAGGAGAGGATGGGGTGGGAAGGGGGGATTCCTGATCAGACACCCCTGCTCCCGGGGACCTGGGACCTCCAGATCTCAGGGATCTGGATTATCTTCTCCTCTGTGAAAGTTTCTGAGCTCCCCCAGCGACTCTTTGAAACTTGTTCTTGAGACATTTAGGGAGATGCTTATCATTCTTTCTGTTTTGAGGAGGAAGGAAGGGGACTTCATAGCTTAGGGTCAGCTTCTTTTCCCCAGTTTCCCAATCACTGAAGGCCCTGTGATGCCAGTTGACCTGGTGTCTCTTGTCTCTCGCTCTTTCTGCAGCTAAAGTGACTCTGGATCCAGACACTGCCTACTGTGAACTCTTTCTGTCTGAAGATTCCCAAAACGTGAGGTGAAAAAATACACGGCAGGACCTCCCTGAAAAACCTGGAAGATTTTTTCTTGGCCCTTGTCTGCTGGGCCACGAGTCCTTCTCTTCAAGGAGACATTACCGAGAGGTAGAAGTTGATGACAGGATTCATCGGGAGCTTGGGGTTTGTGAGGAAAACATGGAAAGGACGTGGGGAATCGGGAATCACCTCAAAATGGCTTCTGGGCAGTGGAACTGTAAGCTAATAAGGATCAGGCCTTCGCCTCCCATAGGACCCTCTTCTCCTTGAGCGAGCCCCTCAGCCCAGGGGGGATTTTCTTGGACTATGAGGCTGGGGATGTCTCCTTCTATAGTGTGGTTGATGGGTCCCATATCTACACTTTCACCCAGGCCTCTTTCTC